AAGCAGTAGAACAAGGGTGGCATAATTCAGAAAGGTTTAAAGAACTGCATCATAAACTTATTCAAGCTGTTTCTTCATACTACTATTCATTTATACTCATATATAGTTCTCAACTTATACTATACTTCACTTACTTTAATTTGATTTACCCAAATCAAAACAACGCAATTTAGAGTTCAAATTTACTGTGAAATCTCTTTGTCAATATTGGGAACTTAAAACTGAGTGTTAAACTGAATAGCATTGAGAACGATTTTCATATGCTTCTTCAAATTCCCAGGATACTTTGTAGATGTCAAATATTCTTAAGTGCTTTACATAATTATTATCCCTTGAAATTATTTCCTAAGGTTAATGTTGGTTACTAAGTTAACTGTGACCATTTACAAGATTTATATAACCCATCCCCACTGGATTCTTCTCAATCTTCCTATATTAGACTTTTGTGCTTTTTACCTTTGTATATTCCAACTCTGAATTTGATTTTCTCTCTTTACTACTCAAACTGAAATACACAGTGAGCCCTAACTTGCCACCAGTAATACTTTATACTTAAGGCCTTCAAGAGAACCAAACTGCTACAGTGCCTGCTGGGAACTGCCAGGCCACTGAAAATGCCAATACACCCAAATAGAAAAAAAGGAGCAAAAGAATTACCCTAGGTACATCTTTTCCTCTGAACTTACTTAGAATTACTACTCAGAAGATCTGATTTAAAACAAAACAACAACAACAAAAAGCTGGTAGCTACTGCTACCAACTATAGTAGTTTGGCAGAAGAATTAAAGCAGTTTGTTCTCTGAATAAAATGAAGAACAAAGTCCAGATATCATCTTCATTAGAAAATGGAGATTTTTACATCTTGATTAAGAAATGAGAAGTACTAGAGAGGCACCTATGGAATAAACAAGTGAGTAGTCAGAATTACTCAATCAAAAAGTACTCATTAATCTGTGATAGATACAAAATTATAAAAAATTACCAATAATACCGAATACAGCATAACGCCTGGAACTGTGTATGAAGTGAGAAAACAAGTAAGATTTAACTAAAGAATTTGAGCAAGCTAAAACAACTGAAGAGGAATTAAAGAAAACGAAGGTTAACACTGATTAGTAAAAGATTTTTAAATATCACTCAATCTGGAAAAACAAAACTGGTAAATATGGCAGGGATAATGGTCAACATTATCAATCCCAATCTTTCCAATCAGAGATGACTGGAGAGGACTAGATTCAGGCTGTATTTTTCTGATATCCTAATCTATTTATCAAGATTACACATATTAATCTCCACAGAACTACAAAACAAAACTTATTACTTGTAAACTTTTTAAATTGTTCTACTTTAATACAGCTACATACTAAATGGCACCAGAACTTCATGTAAAAATTCCTGAAACATACTTATATATTACATATAACTTTAAATGAAACCCCAATTAAAATATTTAGAAAAACAATGAATTTGCTTAATGATTCTCCTCCTCTACAAAACCAATCACCAGAGTCCATTAACATTAAGGCATATTTCCAATTAGTGAGATATGTATGTTTTTACATACATTTCTGTTGGTGCTTATAAGGTTTGGCTTTACTATACAATTCTCTTACCTGCCCTTCTATATCTAAGTGGCACCAAGTTCTGATTAAAATCTTTTCTTTTGAATTATACTTGAATTCCCATTATAACCAGTTTAATTCGGTCCTTATCATATTTCACATGGACTTCTATGAACACCTACCTATCTGATCTCTCTTGCTTCCATTCCCACAGTCCTCAACCTCCCCTCCTCATTTCGCTCACATCCTAAAAGTTAAATCTGATCTCTGGTTCCCTACTTTAATACAGTAATTCCTTATCTGTATCTTCCTCTTACACAGTTTTGAAATGCACTCCCATATTTTAAAAGAACAGATAAATGCTGTACTAAAACTACTTGGGGATTTTCATTGTTGCTGCAGGGTTTTTTTTTAAGTTACTGTTTTTGAAAGAGATGGAATTTGAACTCAGGGGCGTCATGCTTGAAAAATAGGTACTCTGCCACTTGAGTCATGACCCCAGTCCTTTTCTGCTTTAATTGTTTTAAATAGGGTCTCACTATTTGCTCCATGACAGCTTAAAACCTCAATACTGCTATCTATGCTTTCTATGTAGCTGGGAATACAGATATGCACCCTTAAATCTTGCTAGAGGGGATAGGGTCTTAAATTTTTGCACAGGTTAGCCCTGAAACACAATCCTCCCAATCTTTATTTCCTAAGTACCTGTTCCACAGAAAACTATTAGTTCTCCAGATTTTTCAAACTGCTTCACATCTCTTGTGTAAGTCTGAAATATCCAAATATTGCCCATGTTACCCATCCCCTCTCCTACAACCTTTTCCTTTCATTCTCCAAACCTTTTAAAAACTTTACATATATTTATATTCAGTCTTCCTACCCATATAACCATTCCATAAAATAGGATCCCTATTTTACAGATTGAGAAATCAAACCCAGCAGTGGAAGGTAAGAGAGCTGTCCTAAGTGACCTTTAGTTTGAATCCACAATTACTGATGACAAAAGCTATGGTGTTTACCACAGTGACTTAACAGCCTCTTACATATCACTCTGAAGTATTGACTTACTCATCAGTTTACACATTTGTTTCCCTCTTTAGACATACTATGCTCCCTGAGGGCAGGTATCAACCCTGGGTTTGACATCAACATTTAGTTTCTTAATACATGTTTGTTCACTAAAAGAGAGTAATAAGCCCCTGAACAGCTGGTACCATGACTACTTATTTCAGTTCTTGACTTCTTAGAGCTCTGACTGTACTCCCTACCAAACATATTTATCTGTAAAATTACAGCTGGACTTATGAGACAACATGAGACAATGAATTTCAGTTTAAGCTACAAAAAAAGCTGCATAGTTGTGCATTTTTAAAAAAAATACTATTCCTACATTACAATCTATCAAACTGAGGACTTCAAATTTTCAGGGTAATTTTCACAACAGTTTCATCCCACAAGAGCAGGCAACCATAGCAGTGCGGTTTTAAATAGCTGAAATTCAAAAGGTAAAGTTGATTAATAATAGATGACATAAAGAAACTGAGCACTGAATACACAAGGCCCGTTTGGCAATCCACTGAGGCTAACTAGTGAGCAATGCTGTCTTTGTCATAATGTTCTCTCATCTTGTCATTTCTGAAACATTGGTAAAGTATCAATCAATACACTAGTGTATAAATGCTATGCCCTTCTTTCATTAAAGTGCATCTGTCGGCGAGGTAAAACAGTAAGCTACTTCCTTTCATTTAAATCACATACCAAATATAACTGTCAGCAAAACTGACTTTTTTTTTCTCATTTGCAGATAGCTAGCACTCAAACCACCGGATATATTTTAAAATATACTTTAAAAATATACTTTCATTTTATAGGTTTCTGGTAAAAGTGAAATGGTTATTCCTTTAACACCTCTTTCCGAAATAACTCAGTAAGAGGGAAAAAAAACTTTTCTAAACAACCTGATGTTGTGGAAAATACAGACATACAGGCATAGTACTGGTTTTCTACTTCAGGAGTGATGGTTTTCTAGCTCCAGTCACATTATTAAACTGCTGTTTAACTTGGGACTCAATAGCTATTTTCTCTTTCTAAAAACTGTATATGTGGGGAATGGACTTGATTTTCTTTAAAGCTATCTTGCAAATTCTGATGTTTCAGTCTTCTAACCAAGTTCTAGACTTCAAATTCTAAGTAACAAACACGTCGTGAATTGAATGAATGATTCCATATGTAGGGGACAACACAGAATGCAAACAGAAGACTCATACACAGCTAACAGGTTGGTAACTTTCCAGAAATTGTCTAATCTTAACTTCTTAAACAAGGAGGCGTAGTCTTGCTTGACATAGGTAAGATTACTAAGGAAATTTATAAAATGGCACTGCTGCTCAAACTTCTCTGGATATTTCCTGGGTTCCAGTGGTGCATAACGTGCAGGTGCAAGCAAATAGAGAGAGCCAGTCACATTCCAACAAGCCACATTTCAACCCAGTCACCTCAGTGGGACCTCCTCAAGGCCTACAACACGAACAAAACTTCCCCACCCCCAGAAGCGCCTGCAGCCAATGTAATGAATGCTTCCTTAAACAACACCCATTCCCTTCCCACAGCAGAACGGCTTGCTCCCAACCTGCCATCTGGGGTTGGAACTGGCCGCTCGGAACTAACCTAAGACTCTTTCTTGGTCCCGCAAAGGGCAAGAATAACTAGAGACTGAGGTTTCCCTGCCTAGGGCTGGGGGCTGGGGGAGAATCTGCACCCCTCCTCCCACAAATGCAAAAAGAAAAAAAAGCACGACCAGGCCTAGGTGTATTTGCTGGAGAAACAAACTGTTTCTCTGTACTGGGGAGGGACAGAAGCGATCCCTTCCTGCCATCGCACTCTGGAGTGTCCAATAACGTGCAGTCGGTTTCATCCTCTCTTGGAAATACTAAAAAGGAGATTAAATGAACGATGCACTTTCCCCTAGTTCTATTCGCTCTTTCAACCTCTGGCATTGTTAAGGAAGCTACCCCGACCGAGCAGAAAGAGGTGACGCTAGGGCGAGTGCGAGGGTCCCGTTCTGCGAGCAAGCAGCTTGTGCAAGAGAACGAACACATGAAAGATGAAACCCTTGTGGTGTAAAAGTTTGGACCGGCAGCGCAGACGCAGACCCGGGGCCGTCCAAGCCGGGCTCCAAAAGGCAGGCCGGCGGAGGTGACACTCCCTTGTTCTCCAGCCGCTCGGGAGGCGGCGTCCGGCCGGCGCGCACCCAGGAGCCGGGCAGCGCGGCGGGCCGGGGCCCGGACCCGGACCCGGCAGGAGGCCGGGGCGTCGGGGAGGACCCCTCCTCCCCCGCCCCCTTCCTCCCTCCCACTCTGCGCCGGGGTCCGGGCCCGCCCGCGAGGGCACGTCGGGGGGTGGGGTGGGGGGGCGGTGGAGGGGGTCTCGGCCACTGACCACACATTTCTTGCCGAGGAAGGAGAAGAGGGACTCGTTCTCCTGCGGGGTGAGCAGCAGGGACCCCACGTTGGTGACCCTCCGCGGGGGAGGCGGCTGCTGGCCGGAGCTCATGGTGTCGCCGACGGGGCTGGGCGTGCGGGGCCGCGTCCGAGGGCGGCGGGTGGGCGGGCGGGCGGCGGTCTCCCCCTCGCGGTGACAGGGGCGGGGAGCGGGGGCTCAGCGGCGCATCGCCCACCGCGCAGCTCCTCCGAGGCGGGCGGAGGCGGCGGCGGCGGCGGCGGCGGCGGCGGCGCGGGCTGCGGGGCGGACGGCAGGCCGCGCTGCCACCCGGCGAGGCGCAGGCCGGATGCTCCCGGTTCCGCGGCACTCTCGGCGTCTGCGCTAAACTCTCAACCCCTCCTTCGGTACTCCGGCGGCGGCGGCGGCGGCGGCGGCAGCCGCACAATCCAACATGGCAGCGGGAGCGGACGAAACCACGAGACGCAGGACCGCAGGGGAGTGAGGGAGCGCGCCGGAAACGCCCGAGAGGAATTCACGCCTCCCACCCCCTCCGCTCGCGGCGACCTGAGCGCGCCCGCCGCAGGCCACGCCCACTTCCGGCAGAGGCGCGGTCTGAGCTCGTCACGTCGTGGCCCTCGTCTCCGGCTGCTACCTGAGTGAGGCCTGGTCGCCGCGCCTCGTCGGCCGCGCGTGGCGTCTGCGGCGGCGGGACGGACTGGAGGTTGGTCTCGGCGGGCCGGTGCGCCTCCCTTCTGTGGGCGTACACCTTGGCGGGGCCTCCCCGCCCTCAGTGTCCCTTAATTTCTCTGGCCTGGTTCGAGCCTCCTGTCAGAAAGTTCTGGAATCGAGGACACGTTGAGGCGGGTAGTTGGCCCCCCTGTGCTCCCCTGGTTTCAGTCTGGGCCACTGGCGCCTGGACGTTCTCAGACGCGGGACACGTTTGGAGGCATTGCAGGAGATGAAGAGCTGGACCCAACAGGTTGCTCCAAGAGCCTGGTGGATGACACAGAAAACAGTAAAAACAAGCTTAGAAAAGACACGTCACTGCCCCAAGTGTGGTCCACATCCAAGCCACAGGACAGTGTCCAGAGGCCCTTTTTCTTCTCCTAGATTGGAAAATTATCTCTCCCCTCTCCCCCTCCCTCCCCAATTTGTCTCTAATCCTCAGGTCTTTAAGAAGCAAATCCCTCAAGATTATTTTTTAATGTGTATTTTAGAATATTAAAAGTTAACCTCAGATATACCTCCTTTGCTGAGTATATACTGAACTGTTGTAAAATTGGAGAATATGCGAGTGATAGATTTCAATGAATTGCAAAATAAACATCTGAACTTTATTACCACTGTGCTTGCTTAATTTCATCAAACAAAAGTTTTGTGTTAAATTTATGACATATTTTGTGACAAAATTTGGTAAAGGCGTCTTGTGTTAAAAGCGTCTCTGATAGCGCCCAATAGAAATCTCTGATGTACTAAGTAGACTGATAACACCATTAACCATGCACTTCGAAATTCATCCAAAATGTAAAATTAAAGTCACCCTTAATGAAATTGAGTAAGCAGGAATAAATCAACAGAGGAAAACGAAAGAATAGTCATCGGTCTTCACACAGAACATGGGGATTTCAAAATTAAACTTCATTGAAAAAAAAGGGAGTTTTACAAAGCAACACAATTCTGAAATACATAGATTTAGCTGTATTTTTTTTTTGTCTTTTCTTTTTTGGTACTGGGGATCGAACCCAGGACGTTGCTAGGCAAGCGCTTTGCCACTGAGCTACATCCCAGCCCTGAAATACATAGATTTAGAAACAGGAGGGAAGTAGAGTTCGGGTGTTAGAATTAAAGAGCTAACAAAGCTGGAAGACTTAAACACAAAGCTCTTAGGGGCTGGGGAGGTAGAATGCTTGTCTAACATGCTTAAAGCCCTCAGTACCACATAAACAGAAAAGGCCACAAGTGGTGCTGTGGCTCAAATGGTAGAGTGCTAGCCTTGAACAAGAGAAGCTCAGGGACAATGCCCAGGCCCTGAGTTCAAGCCCCAGGACTAGCAAAAAATAAGAATAATACAGCTCTTAGACGTTGAAAGCACAGTGACAAAGGCATTACAAATTCTTGAAAATGAATTGAAATTACAGCCCTTTTATTTTCAAACCTGTGGACAACTACAATAACAAAAAATAGGCTTCCAATAGACCAAAATTAAAGTTCCTGCAAGGCGTCTTAAAACCTTATGAATCATGGACAAGATGCCTCTCTGTTTCCTCTTATGTAAAACTAGAAAGAATTTGTTTCACAAAGCTGCAGTGTAAATGGGTATAATTATACCTACCTTGAAGTTAAAAGATAAACCAGGCATATAAAGTAGTTGATAACATAATTTTTACATGAATTTTGTCACTTATCCTTTTTGCTTGTTTTAAAGGCAGGTTTTTAAAAAACTGTCCTTTAACTTCATAACCACACATAAATCTCCAAATACATGTTGATGTGGTTAGAGCATAGTCTCTTGCCTGGCAGAATTTCTGACTATATTATGTTGAGCAGACAGCATTTATTCAGTATGCCAAAATAACAAACTTTTAATACTATAAATTTAGAGTTGGAATCCACTTTAAGAAAAATGACAGAGATGGAGGCATAACTCAGTGGTGGATTTGTGCATTTAGTATGTTTCAGGCCCTGAATTCAGTCTCCACTCCCTCTAAAAAATGATAAGTAGCATGTTTTGTGCTAGAAATGCCAGCCACCTCTAAGAACTTGTAGACCGTCCATTTTGAAAATTAAATAAGTGAGACGAGATCTATGGGGAAAAGAATCCCTATGGGATGATAGTGAACAGTATTGTTGATGAATAATGTTGTACTGAGAACTAATGAGTTTTAATCATTTTACAACCTTTTATTAGCCTAGGCTTTTAGTGCTGCAATTACTTTTTTTCCCCTTGACATTCTAAACTTACTAGAATGTATTTTTTTAATTCAACCTTGTTCTATTTCCTATGAACTTGAAGATTGAAAATTTTTACCATCACAGGTTTTATCTCCTGAGGCCCAAACTATTTTAGTTTATCCTCTAAAATTTAAATGTATTACTTTATCTACAAAATTGCAATTTATTTTGTTTTTTTCTAGACTTTTTACCAATTCCTTTTTAAAGTGTGGAAAACAGAAAATTCAAATTCTTTACAGCTTTGAACATGTGACAGGCAATATTTGGGGTAATTGATCAAAGTTACTGTTTTTCCACATTCACCTATATATAGGAAGTATTGGATATTTTAGTTTCAATATTTTAGCAAGTCTTTTCTATCTTTTACTCTTGATAGAATAATTTCTTTTCATTAGAAAACAAGGTATCTTTCACTATGTTTTCTTTGGCAAGCTGTTTTTTTTTTTTTTTACCTCATTCTTTTTGCCCAGTCTGATAGATTGAATTTGATCCAGAAAACACTATTCTATTTTCTTTCAACCTGATATCTTAAACTTTGTAAGTTAGGCTAGGAAGACTAGAAATTTTTATCTTCATATATACATATAAAGTACAAATGCTAGCTAAAAATGTGCATAAATACAGCTAAGAAAAAGATATTTCTTGGAGTAAGTTTTTCATTTGGCTTTCCTTGCTGGAACTAGAATTTATTCTCCATTCTCATTTTCTTTCTATCTTTGCTATGTTCTTTAAGGTGAGATCCTAGGTTTTGACAGAAAACATTGGGGTAGTGTATTTATAGATGTAAGAACATATTTTCTGATATCTTCTGCTGTTATAACTACCCTTGCCCTCTGTTACCCATTTTTGTTTTTTTTTCAAATGTCATTGCTTATGTACTGTTGAAAGTCCTATAGAACATGTGATTCTCCTGGCTAATATTAATAATTTTAAAATGGAATGACACCCTTCACTGTAAAGGAACGGGCAAGTAGCAGCACACAGGGATCCATGCCATTCAGCAGCTATTGTAGCCATTATTACTGGTACTGACATGTTGCCTGGTTATGGATATAGAGACAAGAACAACGTCAAATTTTCCACAGCAGGGAAGATAAATGCTACATCTTTCATGCAACTGCCAAGTGTCATGGATTTAAAATGTTTACATTGTAAAATGTCTCCACACACTTTGCTATAAATCTTACATACAATAGTGCTTAAGAAACTGTCGCCCAACTTAAATGTTGGAGGGTTTATTTTTCATCAGAATTCTTGGAAAGGAAGCTAGAGAGTAAATTTTCTTTTCCTTTGAAATTCATCTTAAGAGCAATACCTCTTTGTGACTTTTAAAAGGATAGCTTACAAACCATGCAGATATTGATATTAAGAGAAAATTGAGTTATTTTACTAGTGAATTGCCAATAATAGTTACTGTATAGTTTCTAGATGCCCAACACATACCTTTATTTGGAAGTGATATTAAGCACCAAGGTTTTTATAGTACCAAGGATGCTGCTTCCTGGTAGTGTTCCAGCTGAGGCTCTTTAACTTTAATGAATATTCAATAGCCATTAGCTTAATTACTCCAAAGAGAAAGTGGAAACATTGGCTTCTTGATTATAATGTGCTCAAGGTGAGTTGACAACTTGGGAACTAGGGCTAATTTGAAGATGCTGCAGGTTCCCATTCATTGATAGTAATAGAGTAAAGGATATGGTCTCTTCAGCCATACCGGCCTTAAAAAGCCAATTCAGACTTTTATAAAAAGTGATAGGTGCTCATAATTTGAAAATTTACTTATACAAGACTTATACAAGTCTTATACAAGACTTATACAAATATAAGGCAGAAGCTCATCTTTCCTCATCAGTATGTATTAGCTCTCCTCAGACATCTACTTTGAGTCCTTTGAACTATTTTCTTCTGCTATTTATAAATAAATTTCTAATATTAATTTATTTGAATATTTTGATTTATTTATTTTATTTATTTATTTCAATATTTAATATTGATTTATTTGAATATTGAAAGCTTTATTAACTTCCTATTATGAAAGAATTTATCTCAGAAACTACACTTTTCAATTTTTCCTCCTCCAGTTTATTATCTTGTTTAAATCATTATCATACAGAATAAAATATCATTCCCTAATTAGCTAATATTGCAGTATGATTGCTCTACATTCTTATGTTGGTGGTAAATCCACTACTAATGTTGGACACTGGAAACCA